CTCTCTCTCTCTCTCTCTCTCTCTCTCTCTCTCTCTCTCTCTCTCTCTCTCTCTCTGTGTGTGTGTGTGTGTGTGTGTGTGTGTGTGTGTGAACAGGCCACCCACACCCAGACATACACTTTTCTCTCTCGCTGTGTGTGCGTGAGAACACGTCACCCACACCCAGACACATACACTTTTTGCCCCTCTACACGCGACCCAACCAGCATAGAACAGGCTACCTTACCAGTTCACGATGGATGGCTTCCCAGACGCAGCAACCCCTATGCAGCAGTGAAGAGCTCCACTTGGGCCGCCAACGGGAATCCAGGAATGCGAGGTAGAGGACGGCCCAGTTTCGTCCGGAGTCCACTCTGCGCAACCCAGAGCAGTCCACGGCTTCCTCCACATGGTTTCGAATAGATTTCGAAACGGAACAATGACAGACCACCTTCAGGGTGGGCCTACCTACCTATTGGTGGTAGCCTCAGCTAAGCTATGGGCCTCGCCCCACTACTCACCAAATGTGCAAAATGAGAATGAATCTTACGCTAGAAAATCGATAGATACGGCGCCATGTTTCTGTTTTGCTTTTGTACGCGTAGTGAGTTGTGGAGCGAGGCCCTCTGCCTGCGCCTACCGGTAGGATGTGAAATCGGACAGCTTCCATTTGGAATTGGAATTGGCCTCGCGGCGCACATACATAGCCTACGGGCGTACAAATAGCCTATGGGCACGTACACAGCGTCCGGGCACACATATACAGCTACGATACCAGGCTGGGGAGGGGGCCAAGGGGGTCTAGTACATGCTTGAGTAGGAACGGGTAGGACCAGGGCTGGGTAGGGATATAAGTGGCTCCAGCTCGTCCGGGATCCGCCTGGCCTTGGGTAAGCTAGGACAGTCTGGACTTGTCCGTGGGTGCTAGCCTGTCTAGCCTTGGCGCCTATACCTGCTACTTGGTCCGGGTACAACCTCTGACTATAGGGGGCTAGTAGAAGGGCCTCGCCACACCTATCCGGAAAACGCAAAAAAGTTCGGGAGCACTCCCGAATGTGGGAGATGTGAAAAAAACTTTCCAGAGGGCAAGGCGGCAGTCTCCAATTCGTCAGACGAGGTGCGAAATTATTTTGGAGAGCGCAGACGACCGGCCTCGCCATGCCACTCTCGAAATGTGCAAAATGAGAATGAACTTCCCGCTAGAACATGGCCAGATGCACTCGCCACATTTCTGTCTTTTTTCACATTTCCAGAGTGGTGTGGCGAACCCAGACAAAACGGTGGCAACAGATGGTTGTCGGTCGAGGCGCCCTCTCCAATTTGGGGCCGAAATCGGAGGAGCCTTGGACCACTCCTCAAATCCTGTGCTTTGCAGGCGGGGCGATCCACAAAGTTCGAGAGCACTCCCGTGAACCGCATTCTGACCGCTCTCCAAATTCTTTCTGACTGCTATTTTCGGGAGCTGGTGTGGTGATGCCACTTCTCTCCAAATCGCTGTTTTGGAGATAGGTGTGGCGAGGCCCGAAGAATGCTTGAGCCTGGCGTCTGAAGTTCCTGGATGACAAGGCTCGTCCGATTCCGCTTCAACCTCGGCTGGGTAGGGATGGAAGTGGCTCCTGCTCGTCCGGGATCCGCCTAGGCTTGGGTAAGCTAGGACAGTCCGGACTTGTCCGTGGCGCTACAGTAGCCTGCCCAGTTTTGGTGTCTATACCTGTTATTCAGTCCAAGTCACCCTGCAAGATGGTAGGATGACAGTCTTGAGTGTAGGATAGTGGGGATAGGGGGTGCACTAGGAGGATTGATGAGAGGAAGGGTTGGGAGGTAGCCTCACAATTGTCAGGATAATCAACGGCTGACTGATGACTGCAACCATCGTATGTCTGGAATTCAGCCTCTACAACAACCTGGGCTTTTGGGAAGTAAAAAAAAAGGAGGCTGCACCTACGCCGATTGTGTTTTGTCACATAGGGAGCTTACCGTTATAGGCATGTTTACCACCGTCCCAAGGGGTTTAGAGGGTGTCAGGGCTTACCATTTCGGGCATGTCGGCGGGTGAGGGGTTCAGATGGCATTGAGAGGTATTTCGGAAGGCTGGTAGCTATCGCGAGGAACGCCAGTCGGGTTATTGGTTGTTGGAGGGCATAGAAGTTGGGAGGACCTGCGGTAGGGAAGGGAGGTCGTTGGTGTGTAATGTTGCTTGACGTCTATCGCTTTCCTGCTCAGGTATGCAGGCCCGACTCATTGTCGATTTAGGCGAAATGGTAGGGTGGGGGAAGAGGTGTTCTTGGCGAGGCTCGAAAAATGCGAAAGGAAAAGAAAGGGGACATGGATGGGGACAGGTAGGGTGCTCGGATTCAGTGTAATGGATAGGGATAGTTTTTTTCTGAACTGGAATGGTTGGTTCGAAGTCAGACTTACAGTCGATTGTGCCATATTTCCTTATTTTTCTCTCACATTCTCTTTTTCTTTATGTCATGTGCCTTCACCTTTTGACTGAGTGTGTGTTTGCTTCCTCTTCTTATTTGCCTTCTCTCTCATTCCTTCCTCTACTAGCAACCAAACATGGATTTGGTATAGGGTATCTACCCTTCTCAAGGAAGGCAATTCATATACATGTTCATGCATACACAAGCAATCAATAAGCAGTCAATAAATATATACACCAAATTCAAACTCCATGCAACAAGAAACAAAACATATAAAGGTATGTTTCTCCCAACGTATACAAATCATTCCCATATGCTTTCATTCATATCCAGTCACACTGACATACATTTACCATATAAAAGTAGATGGCATTGCCACATTATAACTTTATGAATAAGATAACTCTCAAGTGGATACTCTCATAACTTGATCGTATTTAGTCTCGGAGGGGATAATTATTTAGTGGATAGTTTCGTATTCATAATTTACACGATACAACATAAAAAGTTAGATGATCGTCGTAGGACACAGTTTATTGTCTGAACTTATATAAAGATCAATGACCATAAATGTCGAATGTCATGCAATGTGACCTGGTTGTTGCCGACAGCGGTAGAATGTGCAGCTACGCCCATTGTGTTTTATCGCATAGTGGGGCTTACCATGCTGGCATGTTAACCACTGTTGTGAGAAGTTCAAAGGGCATAAAAAGGTACTTCGGAAGGATGTGGTCGTTGTAATGAGATAGATCGGTTGGGTTATTGGTCGTCGGAGGGTGTAAACATAGGAGGACCAGCGGTAGGGAAAGAAAATCGTTAGTATATAATGTTGTTTGTAATCTGTAGTTTTTCTGTTTTGGTATGTGGGGGCTGAATCATTGTTGATTTATGTGAAATAAGGGCAGAGGTGTTATTAGCATGGCTCAAAAAAGACGAAAGGAGAAGAATGGAGGCATGGATGAGGACAAATAGATTGTTTGTATTTAGTGTAATGGATGGGGGTAGTTTTTTCGAACTCAAGCGAATGATTGATACGGAGTCAGACTCACCATTGACTTACCGTTAATTATGAAGATCGACGAGCAAAAATATTGAATTTAGTGGACTGTAACTTAGTCGTTGTCATCAGAAGTTGAGTGTGCACCTACTTCAGATGTGTTTTATCTCGTAGTTGGGCTTACCGTCTTGGGCATGTCAGCTACTATCACGAGGGATTCAGAGAGCGTTGATAAATACTTTGGAAAGGGGGTGGTTGTTGTTGTGAGAAAGACAGGTCGATTTATTGGTTGTCAAAGGACATATATGTTGGAGGACCGACGATAGGAAAGGGAGGTCATTGGTATGTAATATTGTTCATCGTCGCTTTTCTAAGTGCAAGCCGACTCATTGTTGATTTAAGTGAAATGGTGGGGTGAGGGTAGAGGTATTATTAGTGAGGCTTGAAAAAAACGAAAACAAAATAAATGAGTTATGGATATGGACATGTAGGTTATTCGCATTTAGAGTAGTGGATAGGGATTTTTTTTTTAACATGAGCGAACGTTTGGTACGAAGTCGGACTTGTTATTGACTTGTCATCAATAATTGTGAATATCGATGGTCGGAAATATTAAATGTGGTGGAGTGTGACTTAACCGCTGCCAATAAAGCTTGAATGCGAAGCCAGACCAGAAGATGATTGAAAAATGGAGTGCTAAAATTGTAGAGATGTCAGCGGTCGGGAAGGATCATAGTTAGGCGAAAAAGGATCGTCAAACAATTCAAATTGAATAAGGGCGGTAAGGTTTAGGTTTTTATGCCCGGACTTCTGGACGTGTTTATGGAGATGTGCACTTCTATACGTCTCCACAAGCACGTCAAAAAATGAGGTTCCTCAGGTGAGAGGATCCCATATTGAGTGTGGCCGGCGTAAAGTTTATGTTTTTTTTTTTTGATTGAACGTCACAAATGAACATCGTTTTTTTTTTTTTTTTTTTTTTAAAGGTGTACGAAGGGAAGATTCATTACGGTTCTAGGGACTGCTTTACATGTGCATGCTAGGAGCGAGGGTCCTGGGATGCGAGGGGGCCATATTGGGTATTGGGTAAAGCAGGCGAGGAATCGAAATTTTTGTTTTGTGATTGGACGCCATAGTCTCTAAGGGATCCTCTTGCTAATATTTATCAAATCAACACAGTATATATATATCTATATATGATTAAATTTGATTTATCATAAATAATTGGAACAAATAAGAAATTAGAATGATTCTTCAATAAAAATAAGCATATCATTTGTCAGTTTATTTTCTTATTTCAATCAATTAAAAAAACAATAAAATATCTTATATTCTATAAAATATTATATTTTATAAATCAAAATAGTATATATAATTTATATATAGAGATACTTTGTTTGATTGTTTTTATTAATTCTAGTTTGTAGAACATATTGAATGTTTTTTTGATTTTTCTATTTTGTCTTTTTTTATTACATGAAGATGAAAATATTAAATTTACATAATATTTATTTAGTTACCTGGTACTTATTCTGATATTCAATTCAACTCTAATCTTTATTATATATATCGTCACAAATAGAACTGCCCGGTAAACCGTATATATAAAAGTTGCACATAAACATGTTATTTTCATGAAAAAATCGCTATAATAATATGAGAGAGCAGCATAGAGCAAATGCACGTCTTTCTAAGAGTCAAAATTCTTTTGGCACTGCATATCAACATGTTTTGTTTTTTAGAATAGGTCTCCTTTGATGAAAAAATAACAACATTATCCATCAGCGAATATGTGAATATACTTCTGAACAACTTTTTTTTAAAATTTATTTCGCTGATTTTTAATAATAATAACATGTGGATGTCTGCCTCAGACACGGTGGGGATCAAGAGGGAGAAAAATAAAACATATTACCAGCATCACAAACA